GGTTTGAGGCAGAGTGAAGAATATAACGCCTCGAGTAACACAGATATAGTAGCAATGATCATGTGAACTAAGTGAGCTAAAGAGATAATAGATGGATCCTACAAAACAAGAGAAACTCTGATAGGTCCTGAAGGAAGAGGATTGCGGACTAAACTGCAACCTTGGATCAACAATCCCAGCACATGGGGGGAGGTGGGAACCTGAGGGGAGTGTGAACAGGTCTTAACAAGATTTAGATAAAGAAGTAAGAAAGTGTGATATTGAAGGGGTGATTTGAGGATATAGGAAATGTGAATAGCCCATGACAGAAGGAGTGATATCACAATTTTGTAATACACATTTGGTCAAAGGAGCGACTTCACTTGTCTCTTTGACGAATTTTATTGTAGCGCTAAGTGTGACAAGATTCACGGACGAGGCCGGTGAAATGCCAATATGCAGGCCAGGCTTTTTCCCATATCAAATCTCTTATAACTTATCTACTGCTAGTCTCGAAACTCTACCTAAATTAGAAAACAAAGTAACGTAGTCGATTGTTTTAGCAAATATACATGTGCTTCATCGACAATCCCACCTAGAATAGGATATGGCAAAAGACCTGGTCTTCCTTGAAATTCACATCGGCTCTGTGACCCAAGGGCACTCGTGGAAATGTGGATGAATGGTTAACTTCTTTAACTCACAATCTTCACTTTCACAATTCGACTCCAGCTGGGGATGTTGATAAGACCGATGCGAGGTCGAATCTCCAGTCCACATCACCCTGGATGAGAACAACTTTTGGGAAAGCAAAGATATGTGATATTCAATGGAAACGTCAGCTATACTCATATCATTGAGGGAAAATTCTTCTACCAGTCCTTCATCACCTTAAACGAAATAGGGTGAATACATCTAATATTACATTGAATATTTCATTCCCTATTTTCCAATCCGCTGATGAAATGGCGCATTGGATAATTTAAATCACACTTTTAAACATAGCTTTTATTTAATGGCTTAGTAGTAAGGCAAAAAATTCTCATTGAATCACTAAATCGTGAGAATTTTCTTATATTACGATGAATTTGGAGTGGTAAAAAGGGAATAAATTTATTCCAAGAATAATTTTCATGAATCGGATATGAGTAAAATGGCATTACCCACCACATTAGGAAGAATTATGTATCCTAGTTTGCAATATATGCTCACAGATATTTCTAGTTGAACACAAGACCAGTTTCAGCGTGATTTTTCCTCTGTTGCATTAGTGCTTTTTGACGCTCCTTCATTTATCTATATTTATTCATACCTATTATCAGGTCATACTCTTCTGCTACTCCTATTCATTTTTGAGAACAGGGTATAGTCCCAGTATGCGTTCTACTACAGGCGCTATTTCTCAGGGTTTGCCGTAAACCCTTGGTACACGTATACCGTGACGTCACTAATCAGAGCACCTTGTCTTTGATTCCCAAGCTTGGTGATATCGTACATTGTCTCCATAGGCTATCCCTGAAATTCAACCTTCGTACCCGGAGCAAAGTATAAAAGTTGATCTCTGGTCTCCTGCCTCACATCGAGTAGATTGCGAGTCAGTTTGGCCATAAAGCTGAATTTCTGTTACTGTTTTGCTTATCCGTCTCTCCACTCCTGTGACCGCAGGTCCTTAAATTTGTAGTTGTTCCTTCCGGCAGAGCCTACACATTAAAAATGTCTTCAATTGATTTGTTAAAGTTTATCACCCGCTTTTTTCTTGTGATCTCTGTCCGTCTGGTTAACAATAGGTCAATGGTACAGTAATCTAGATTTTGCAGCTTTTGCCGTATCCTTGCTTGCTGTGAGCTCGCTAACTATGTTGAGCTTACTTCCATTTCGAGTGAAAGTGTTGGTTGAATAGCTTCGAAGATCGGTTCCACCAGAAGACGACCTCAGATTCCTCTTGACCAGCTATCAATTGGCTTTACTAAAAGATTCATGCTGACGCTATTTCCGAGGTAATCTCCTTCGATTCCGGTGAATAGGTTCTAAGCTTTCGTCCGTCTGATGACTAGCATCATCAGAGCAAGGTATCATCTTCACAACCAAATATAAGCTAGCGAGTCAAGAAAACTTCCAATCCCATTATAACTAACATTTGTTCAGACATACTTTGCATTAAAAGTCACAAACTTCTTTTGAGCTATTAGCGTACTGTTATTCTCTTGCCAGGATGTATAGCGCCCAAATATTAATCATTTTTGGGTGCTCGTGAGACCTAGGCAAGGTAGAAACTGACGTCTGCGCTGGATGATATAACCTTTTAAGAGGCATTGCAGAGTGAAATTCGTCAGCATCTTTGGGTTTATTAATATCATTCGCAAAAGCCCACAATCAATTATTAAATATCCTCAAGCACCACAAGGAAAATAAATTCTTACTCATCAAATAAGTACTTTGTAAAAAGGATTAGTAATACAAGCGATCATTCTTAGGTCTTTTACTGTTTAGCAATTGCCTCCAAATTCTCATATTCTAATGTATTAATGATGCGTGGAGGTATTTCAACTTAATAATCTCCACCGTTTTATTAAGCGTTTTGACAATGATACAATTTATAATTAGCAAGTCTGTAATAATTCCAAGATTTAGGGTAAGTTGAAAAGAGTTGAGTAATTTATCAGTTAATTTTTGATTAAATAAAGCTCACTCTTATGACTTTACGTTTCCAGTATGCTTGCCTAAATGGCGAAAATCCTGTTCTTCCTTTTGACTTCCATTGCTCAACAATGCTTAGCATTTCCTGATGTTTTAAGACTGTGGGCAGCTGCTTTTATCAGGACTGTCTTATAAAGCCTTATTGAGCTGAGCTCATAATAGATTTGATAAAAATGAGTGAGCTGTGCTCTTGTGCGTCTTCAGCTTCAACTTCGAAAAGAGGACCCGAAGCGCCCCCCTACTCCTCTCTTTTCTCCCCCAACTACATGCTAAGTGAATAAACTGCTTATGATAAAAGAGTACTCGGCGAGATTCTGCTTCTAAATATTTACTCAGCATAGTTGTCAGGCGTATGTACTAATTCACTAGTCCCCAAACCTTATATTTCAAGAAACATAGCTTTATCCAGCCCTACATGAAGTGAGCTCAAATCAGAAAAATATGAACTCTTAGAGCCTGGTTTAGAATTATTTTTTTATATCTACTAAGGTAATGACTGTTCCTAATAGCCATATTGAACCAGTTAAGTAAATGTCTCGAAACATCAATTCTGTCACAGCTTGCTCCAGCGTAATCAAGATTCACGGATTCCGTTGCATTCATAATTTATTGTATTTCAAAAATATGATCTGCTCGGAGTTCCACAGCTCTTCATTATTACAATATAGTCCCTTGATGATATAACATTGAAAAATATTTTTAATGCAGCCAAAAATGGCTTATTTTCTTCACTTTCTCACAAAATTAGGGACAGGATTTTTGTATTTACAGAATATCAAAGTTTCCCAATAAAAATACGGCAAATATATAAATAGTGATAAATTGCAAGTATATATTTATTGAAATTGCTCAAGGGTCACTTTCTCTGCTGAGCACACAGGGCAAGGCTTTGCGCTGCCTTACCACGTTTGCCAGGGGTAGGATGGTGTTTTAGCATAACACATGCAGCTTTCGTAAACATTATAAAGTAACATAGTGTAAATGAATAAGGAAAGGGGAAAATATAAAATATTTAATAGTATCCAAGGCTGACATGTACAGATTTACAGTGTTTAAGTTCGCTAATATTATTAGTAAATAACTCATTTATAATAATATCTATTATTTAAAATAAATTTCCCCCATAGATTTACATAATAATCCTACCCACAATGAGTAGGCGAGATAAATGAAAGGACAAATTCAATATAAAATCATCTCCTGCTTAGGATGATTTTTGTTTTTTTCATAATGCGAATTCCATCTAAGCGCCCATTTTCGAAACTCTTTACATAAATAAGAAATGATACGGGCTAATTGGTTGCATCTACACCGGCTCTAGGGTGTAATTTGTACCAGAGATATGGTGTTCATTCTTGAGTCTGGCTTCAGGCATGATTTGAAAGGCCGGAGCCACAACAAGGATGAAGAGTGTAGAAAAGGTCGCGCAAGCCAGATAGGCCCAGAAAAGCGTCCTGTCCATGACACGAGCCACCTGACGCCATTCTTCAATCCGTCGAGTCTCGCCCTCCTCCATGTCCCGCCGATTGTCGATGTCAAGCAACAGCCGCAACAATTCGGAGCGCTCAAAAAGACCGGCCGAAGTGACACCTTCTGGGCTTGGCGCGTTTCGAAGATGCGTGAAGCGTCGGTCTTCCGTTGAGTGGGATCGAGTCGGCGAGCGGTTCGCCCCATAATGGAGTCTTTTTGCTTGAGAGCCCGAATTCCGCATCACTTGTTCCTCACTGGCGCCTGAGATTGATGAGGTGTCCATGCACTTTAACAATCTGTAAACCTGACTGATGAACATCATGTTTCTCGCTGACCTGTCTAAGGCTATCTGCATCGACAAATTACGAGCCAGCAAAGATCGCGCCACAGGCGTGGCTCTGGGACTGGGCATAAAATGTTGTCTATGGTGAGAAATGTTCTCTAATGCATAAATTTGATCTTCCTCAAAATGCTCATTTGCAACGGTTCGAGTCGTGAAGATGGGCGAGTGTTGACCACGTCTCATGGGCGAGATGCTGGCATAATCTAAAATTCGCTTCCTGATGCGGCTTTGTCTCATTGAGACTTTTGTTTTGGCTGGCTTCTCGATCAAGCACCTCAGGCATCGAGGCAGTTCGTGTCTCATCGGTCCACAATGATGCAAATTGAGCACAAATACCGTCATCATCACTGAGAGTGACGTCAAAGACATCACTACGGAGAGGTATATGCCTGAACAAAATTAGTGGGGGAAAAAGTTGGTCAGCATGTAGGTATGTCGCATAACAAACATGAATCCCTGCCTTCAAGTGAACATGCTACATCTTGACAATGTTCAAATGGCCTCGGCCGTTTTATGGAAAAGGCCTAAATAATCTGAGCT